TTTTATTTTTTTCGTTCACAAATTCCCACTCCCCCCTATGACCTTCCCTAAACTTCTACTCCCGCCTCCCCATAACTGCTTTCGATTCCTTCCCTCCACTCGCCTCCCCCCCACTCCAGGCTTTATGAGGGGGAGGGAGAGGGAGGAGGATGAGGATGCGCTTTTGCCGAGGAAGTGAGCGGGGGGGGGGATGGGCCTTTTTTTGGGTGGGATGAAGGATGTTTTTTGGGGATGGAGTTTGGTTTTTTTTTGGGTTGGATTTAGCGCTGGGATTTGGATGCTATGTATGGCTTTGGGATGGGGGTATATCTCAAAAATTATTGGTAATGTCATATTATCGAACCAAATACCCTTTACTCTCATATCCCCCCCCCCCCTTCCCCACAGTTTAACCACCTCACCTCGCCTTCCACCTCACCCGCCCAACCCACTCCCCAAACCTTCTCACCTCCTCCGCCTGCAACAGCCTCTCCACCGTATAATACTCCCTCGCCAACACCTCATGCCCCGCAAAACGATGCACAAACCTATGGCACGCCCCGCACAGCCACGCCACGTTCTGCAGCTGGTCGGCGCGGTGCCACCCGCGCTTGACCGCTTTGTCGTGCACCATGCGCGGGATCAGGTGGTGGTAGCTCAGGTTGATCCAGTCGCGCCCGCAGATCTCGCAGCCCGCCGCGTCGGCCTTGGTCGAGGCCGGCGGCGGGGGCGCCACCGTCGTGGCGCTGATGTAGGCGCCGAGCACGGGGGCGAGGAATTCCGCCGGGGAGGGGAGGTTGGAGGGCGTCGTGCTGGGCGGCGCGGTGATGCCGTAGGTGGCGAGGGAGTCGGGGATGGACGGGTCGAGCGTGTGGAGGAGCGTGGTGGTGCGCTCGGCGGTGAGGGGGAGCGGGTAGAGGGTGCTTTCGAAGTGGGGGTTGTCGATCCAGGTGTGGTAGGTTAGGGATTGGAGGTCGGGGGGGAGGGCGAGGAAGGTGGCGGTCGCGATGTAGGAGGTGAAGTCGGCTAGGTCGTCTGCTGAGGGGTCGGTGTCGGTGATGTCTGGTGAGGTTGGGGGTGGGGAGTTGGTGGGCTTCTTTTTGGAGCGTCGTTTAGGTTTGGGCTTGGGTTTGGTGAAGGGGGTGGCGATTCGCTCGATCAGGAAAGAGGAGAGGATATCACGGAATTGCTCATAGTTGGTGTTGTATTCTTCGGGAATTACTTCCGACATGGTGGTTAAGTCCAGTTAAGCGAGGTAGTTTGATATGAGATGAGGTGTGAATGGGATCAGATTAATACTGAGATTTAAGGATGCGAGGTGAACGACGTTCTAATATACTTGTAAGTCAACCTTACCCCTGAAACCCTGATCCCGACTAATACCCCGACCCAGCCCGAATGCGATCCTGTCTCGGCCAGCCGTTCCCCGCATTCGGCCCCGCCAGTTTGGCTCCGGCGTCCAGTTCCGGAGCTGACTCACTCACCGCGCCAGCATCGTAGTCTCGGCCAACAGAAACGGACCAACAGCATCAGCAATCATGACGGTCATCGCCTTTGACCTCTACGGCACCCTGCTCTCGACCGAATCCATCGCCGAAGAACTTGCCAAGATCGTCGGCGATGAGCACAGCACCACCCTAGCTGCCCTCTGGCGGCGCTATCAACTCGAATACACATGGCGCAGTAACAGCATGGGTAAGTAAGCACCTGACCGAGTGCTAGTTGAGCAAGCATCAGCATCACCATCAAAATTCCATCAAATTCCCTCCCGTCCGCCGCCCAGTCACCCCGTCACCCAAACAAAATCACTTACCCAATGCCTCCCCCCTGCGCTAACCCGACCCACCAACCACCACCCAGCGGGCGACTACCAACCTTTCGAAACCCTCACGCGCGCCTCCCTCTTACACGCCGCCGCCGAGCTCTCCCTCGCACTAACCCCCTCCGAAACCGACCACCTCCTGGAAGCCTACCACGCGCTCCCCGTCTACCCCGACGTCCCCGCCGCCTTCGAAGCCATCCGCACCTTCCAAACCACCACCACCACCCCAACCACCACCCCAACCCAAACCAATTCCCCCCATCCCCACCCCCTCACCACCTACCTCTTCACCAACAGCAGCCGCCACACCCTCACCACCACCCTCCGCACCTCCCCCTCCCTCGCCCGCTACACCACAGCATTTCATGACGTGATCAGCGTGGAGGACGTGCGCGTGTACAAGCCTGCGGGGCGGGCGTACGCGTACCTGCTGGAGCGGGCGGGGCATCCGGAGGGGGGTGAGGGTGAGGGAGAGGTGTGGCTGGTGAGCTCGAACGCGTTTTGATGTGGTCGGGGGCGCTGGCGGCTGGGTTGCGGGCGGCGTGGGTGGATCGGGGCGGGAAGGGGGTGGGTGGATCGGTTGGGGGAATGGATGATGAGGGGGTTTGATCTGTGAATGATGTGTTTGTGTAGGACTCTTAAATATTTGTCAAGTCGTCTCTAGTTGATAG